AAATGTTGAAGATTCTGCTCAAACATTTAAACATAAAGAGGTTAAGTTTCCAGTTCTTGAACAAGCAATGAGTCTATAGGTGGAGAATGCAACCGCTGGTGGTGTGATATTAATAGATTTGTTAATAAAGGAAAAGGCAAAAGTCTTTGCTAAAGCTTTTAATATTCAAGAAAAAGATTTAAATTTTTCTAATGGTTGGTTGCAAAAGTTTAAAAGACGCAATAATATTCGTAAATACCACATACACAGAGAATTGGGAAGTGCGTTTTTAGCATCTCTTCCCGATACACTTCCGATTGAATTTATAATATCGATGAGACGGTAAGCTTTTCTGATTTTTTATAATAAAAAAATTTTATTGAATGGGTGTTAAAAATATCGATATTATTTTACCACTGCTTTCAAAGTTGGGTAAGAATTAGAGGTTAGTTTCATAGAAAATTAGGACACAATAATGATATTTCATGATATCAACATAGATCCAGAGCATTAATTTAGTGAAATGATGTTTCTTAGTTATCTTAGACATCAATTTTTAGTACTGATAAACCAAACCTGTGTGCTGTCAAGCAGTACGAGAACACCCTGTATAGTATCAATACTTTGTCTAATAGAGTATAATAATAACAACACGTCAAAGAAACCCGAAGTGATGCGAGGATACTCTGTGGCTTAAAGCCAAGCTGTGTTGTTGATAGCTCATTTGCATATAAATATACTAACATTGAACGATTTTTTTGGACTAGTGCAGAATTTTTAATATATCGGTTACTTAAATTTCACATAGTCTGATTAAAAGCAAAATGTGTAACATAAGCGTGATGTGATCTGTGTAATCAGAGAATATGTTTTAATATTTTTTATTCTTTAAATATAGGGTCTTTTTTATCGGATATCTTCAAGTCAAACGCTTTCAACAAAACCAGTTCCTGGCTGAAAGAAAGACAAAACATGAATTATAGTCCTCCTCAGCATTAATGCAACAGGAACTGATAAGTTAAAACTATGGGTGATTGGCAATTCGAAACGTCTGAGGCCTCTTTCAAAGGTTAACTTAGAGCGTATTCCCGTCTACTATAGAAGTAATCCTAAAGCATAGATGAACTCAATACTATTTGAAGAGGTTCTTTTAGAATTAGACAGCCATTTTAGAGTGCAAGACAAAAAGATCTTGCTTTTAGTCGATAATGCTTCATCGCATTTCAATCCGCATTATTTACTATCTATAGAAATTGATCAAGATGATGATTATGAAAATGAATCATCTACATCTGGTAAGGTTTATTATATCAATAATTTTTTTTAATAAGCTAAATGATAATTAATAAATAATTTCTTAATTTAATTATAAAGGATCAAGCTTCAAGAGGTCATGATAGTCATGGTGGACCTAGTTATGATGGATCAAGAGGCCGCAATGGTCATGATGAATCAAGAGGCCGTAGTGGTTATAGAGGTCATGGTGGTCATGGTGGATCAAGAGGTCATAGTGGTCATGGTCATGGTAGTCATGGTAGATCAAGAGGTGATAGATCAGAAGAACATCAATCTGACGTTTCCCAGCTTCTATTAACTCATGTTGAAGTACCTTTTTTACCTCTTAATACTACAAGTCATCTTTAACCACTTGATGCAGGAATCATTGCGAACTTCAAAAAGCACTTCAAAAGAAAATATTGCTGTCATATGCTGGATTTATTTGAAGATGAGAAAGATATAAATAGTGAAAGGTAAATATAAAGGAAGCAATTAATTATGTTGCGGAATTATAGGGTCATGTAACCGAAGAAATAGTATGGAACTGTTAGAGAAAAACTGGAATTTTACCTTCTATATCTAATGAAAACATAGATGATACATCACAAATCCAACAAGAAGCAATAGATGATAAAACATTCGATATCAATAAAATGATTGAAAAACTTAATACAGATGATCCTTTTGCTTCCTCACTGACAAATGCACTAACCGATTTTTTTCAAGACTTAGAAAAAATCTAAATTGAAGATACTTTAGACGAAAATGATATAATAAAGCTGATTCAAAGGGAGGAAACACATCATGAAAATAGCGATTTTGAAGAAGAAGAAATTCTAATACCTTTTGGTAATGCTTTTAAATCTTTAAAGATTTGGATTTCATTTTTTGAGCAGCAGCATATTGATGAATTTCATGTAAAAGATTTAACCCTTTTTAAAAGATACTTTAAGATTGTTAAACGGCTTGAACAACAATCCCGAAAGCAGTCATCAATTATGGATTTTTTTTAATATTTAATTAGTTTGATTAGTTTTTAGTAGCATTTACATAGTATTTTGAATAAAATTTACTAAATAATAAATAATTTGCATTTATATATCATTATAAAATAACAATAATATTCTTTAATTTTTATATATGCGTTTGCATTTATGTTCCTCTATATAATCACCTCACATGATTTTTAATATAATAGTGATTATATAGAGGATACCTTTTTATCAGTCACACTTCCATAAAATCACCAATTTTTTGGAAACTGATTAGGTGATTATATGGAGGTCTGACTGTATATAAGTTAAATCATAAGTAATTTTATGAAATAAAATTCTATTTGATTCATATAAAATGTATTATTATTAAAAAAATTTTTTATAACTATATATAATACAAATAACTCATTATCAATTAATTGATAAATAAAATTATTTTTAGTATCATTTATCTTATAATAATTTTGTATAGGATAATTACTTATTTTTTTCTTATGATTATTAATTTTTTTATGTAATTCACTTATTTTATTATCGATATTTAAAGGAATTATATAACTAGAATGTTTTAATTTTTTGATCATATTTTTTAACATATTTTTTATTATTCTTATTTGTTTGATTAATAGAAATAGCGTAATCTATAGAGCTCCGAATGAGTCGAGTTGACTCATGAGTTAAATGAGTCGAGTCGAGTTTGAGTCGAGTCGAGTCAAAAA